CTTTTGTTGGGTGTTCTTGATCTTAGCCTTGGTGAGTATATGGAGCTGGTATGGTAGGTGTTTCAGGTTCGAAACACGAGGTAAGGTCTGTGAAACCAATTTTATTGGTTACCTTGATTATGCAAGTATAAACTGTGTGTTTTGGTGGCTTGCAGGTTTATTGGGAATCAAGGAGGAGATTTGTTGGGTTTTTTGATACTCAATAAATCCGGGGCGATGATGTAAACTGGTTTTGTTTGTTGGATTATACTTCATAGACTTCGGTCGATGATTGAAGTTGTACATCGACACCATAATTAGTCAAACGAATCCTATAACCTCCTCGAGCCATTCGAAGTAGCCTAATTAAGTTAGTGTTGCTCATGGCCCGACCCAAACTCTTGAACGGCTTGTTTGGTTGATAACTCATTTGTATGCTATCACTTGGGCCCTTACCATTGCTTAACCTAAAAGCCCACTTATAGTACGTATATATTTGGTGCCCCATTACTGTTTCCATTGTATGTGAAGTGAGATAGCCGTGTATTGAAGAGAAAAATCGAATTCCCTCTTTTGCTTGGTGCTTGACCGTGGCCTTTTAGTTTCTTCTTCTTCTATTGCCTTTGTGGTTGTCATTTGTGGCTATTAACCTTCATACTCCTTGTCCTTTGTGGGCATTGAAGAGCAACTGGGTTTAGGAGTTTTGGTAGTTTGGATTTGGTCTCTTTGTGGTGTCGATTGGTTGGTGAACTGAGCCCTGAAATTGGTGATTGGAGTCCAATATTCAACAAAAGCCTTTGGCCAACTTCCAAATGACTGAATTGTCATTCTTCTAACGTTGCAAATAGCCCTCTATGATAATAAATCGGGATTGAGTAGGAATTTTTGGCTATCCTTTTCGGCCTAAAATTCCGACTCAAACTTTAGACAGTTGGATAAAACCATTTACCTTTCCTCAGATATCACTACTTGCATTTTACCATAAGATATATGCTATTTGATAAGAACGACAAAAAATTGTTCAAATCTTTATCCACGGTGTTAAAGAATCGACATACTTCATGTTAGAACTCAAAATGAACTATTTTTGAGGATTTTCGTTTCACAAACAGGTTTTAGAAGATAAAAATCAATTTTCTTCAAAGCTAGAAACAAAAATCAACTATCAACTATTGATTTTCCAAGATTCAGAAATAATTTCTAACAAACACTAAGTTGACTCTGATACCACTGTTGAAAATTTACTTAAACACACAACAAAAATTAAAATTAATTTCAATTTACTTCAGTGATCATCTTTGTGTTTGATAGATATCGTGATTAGAATTGTATCTTTGGTAAATTTTTCGAACTTATTTGGGAATCTTGGTCACAAACAATCACAATCTTTGCTCGTCCTTATGAATCTTGATCTACTATGATCTTTTCACACCACAGTCGTCAAATTATCCATCATCCAACGATAATCCACACGGATGAACAAAAACAAGAGTAGGGACTCTCTTTCTTGTATTAGTAAGATTATGATAATTGTGAGATGTGTTTTCATGTAATTGCAATCTTAATTACTATTGTGACACTTATAAAAAAATTCGAACCCTAATTGTTTATTTATAGATGTTTAAGTAGGCTAGGCCCACCCACTAACTATAAGCTGGCCCAATATTTAATTAATTAAAGTTGGTTCATATGTTAATTAATCCAATTAATTAAGTCCATTAATAAAAAATTCAATGAATTAATTCTACAAATATCCAACACTTCAATTAATTAATTTATAGTATCATTTATCTAATTATCCTTTTTATGTGTAATTCGTTCTGATCACAATATCGAACGGTGTGAATTATTATTTAGATCTAATCAAAATAAGGTAAATTAAAATTCCCTTTTAATTTATCATTATTTCATATAGATTAATTAATTCAAATTCGTTGTCCTCGATTAACATCAAGTAATGTGTCATGGAATTACATGTGATGAGAAATGCGACGTGATATGAGAAAACCAAACCAACATCATCAAAGTATAATTGTCCTCATCGAATGCACTATGATGACCTCAAGTCGAATAACCAATTGCAATATCGCATATTAGAGATTAATTATCGATGCTCAGATAGTTATTTATGTGGAATCTCTGTTGCAGTTCTCCAATGTTTTATTCTCTTAACGAAACATTCAGGCATCCATTTAAGTGTCACTATATTTTAGTTTGTGAGATCAGTTACTCACTTCATAAATGCAAAATGTCACACATGTTAATTTATCCATAATAATGATATTCGTATATCCTTATTACTTACGATCAAGAATAATATTCAATCATATGTAAAATGTATCTCATAATCACAGCTCTTTTTGATTAATAAGTTATAAATACTTGAATCTACTAACTCTATTAATTTTATTTATCGGAATAATAATTCAATTAAATAATAGACATGTCATAAATAAAATGCATTAATCATATTAAAGGTATTTATGTCCAAAATCGATTGAACCTAGGGTACAACATTTACAGTTTCTACTAGAAAGAATCACGAAGGACCTCTGCTACTAAAGAGCCACCAATGTGCGGTTAGGAACCCTGAAGCAAGGAGAGCCGAGAGCATAATTGTTTGGTTCCTAGATGTTCGGCAATCGGCATACATCAATACACTCCTCGAGATCAGCGTCACATGTTACAATACCCATTCAGAGTCGTCATCCAAGTATTTGATATGGAAATTGCAGGTGCCATCTATAGGAAAACGCCGAGCAACTTCTCGCAATAAATCTTTGTATCCCCAATTATTTTGCATGCGAAACCTAATTTTCCCTTCTACGTAAGTGACTTTGATTCTTAGTGCATCTGAATCTTGAGATCGTCAGCCACGGTCTTCTGGTGCATGCGGGAGATTTTTGGGCTTAGGAAGATACATAAACGATACATGGCTTGGAGATCTTGAGAGGTTCTTTGGTCCATTGCCCAGCAAATGGAGATGTGCATCACTTCGAGCCATCTTTTGCATGCCATTAACAGATTCTTCCTTAGCCATTGGACCTTCATGACCTTCAACATTCAATATGTAAGGCTTCGACTGACTCCCGCAAGAGCAACATTGACTTGAGCTGAAACTCTTGACTCAAAATGCCACTCTCATGCAGCCAGTGTAATGGTTTTGAATAATTTGTCGATTGTGAATTTGAAAGTGGTTTAACACTTGAGGTGTTTGCGGATGCCAATTTAGGAAAGTTGCGGTAGGACTCGATCTGCAAAGCACCTGAGGTACCTTGGACAGAGTCAATTACGCGTTGGATTTTCTGTAGAGAGTGACCAACCTTCTTGATCATGTGAGAAGGCCAACGCTTTATCCCATGCTGCCTGCATATCCTCTTCAAAGTGTTGGGGCAAACTGAAATTAAATAGAGAACAAAAAAGAAGTGAAATGAGGGGTGAAAACCGAGTTTTACTCGTATACCAGAAACTTTGAAAGAGTTTTACCCAATAAAAAAGAAATTTTCAATTGCTGTCATCTTTCATTTTCCACTAAATTTTAATGTAAATTTTGAACTTGCCACCAAAATTCTTGGCAGTCTTTCAGGGTCACGGCAAAGTATTGTCGAAGAACTTGCAACGTAATAACATTCTCTGCTTTGGTACGTCTTTTGTCCACTGTTTTCTTTGTGTACTGTGAGCTACCATCAGCAGTTAAAGGATTTCTACCCAAGACAACACCTGCTCTTAATTCCAAATCAGATGGATCTCGATTCGATTCCAAGGACATTTCTTTTGGTTTTCCATTCTGGAATGTTGAAACAGAACTAGCACTCTTTTGAAGGCTCATATCACCGAAAGTCTCTGATGATACATCATGCGAAAGCATTGAAGACTGTATTTGATCCACATTTGGAACTTCTTTACTATGTTTAACTACTGGTGGAGGATTTGCCACTTCTACTGGCAAGGCACATTCCTCCAGCAATTCTCTATCCTCTACTTTTTTTTATAGCTACAGCAGCTTGTAATCCAAAAATTCTTGCATGGTGAGAAAGTGGGTATTCTGTCTTGTATAAGCAGTTACATAAGGTGAGAAACAAGTTTGATTAGTTCTTAATGCCCTCCCGACAACACCTTGACCATTTAGCAAGTTGTGCTCAGAGCAAGCTTCTTGAAAATTCTGAATACGGGGATCACCTATGTAGTAAGCAGAATTCACCATCAAAACACAATTGACTAAGTTCTCATCCGAGTACCAACATCCCTCTTTACCCTGTAGTACACACGGAACCCAAGTCTGAGCCAACGGCAATCTATGTGATCTGCATGCAGATTTTAAAACCATTAAAATCTCGGGTAATGCAGCTTGATAAGACAAATCACACATCTGCAAAAGAAGCACGTGTATCAATACAAATAAGCATATCTTCTATGAAGAAATGGAATAGCTCAGACCTAAAATTACCTTAGCTTTTTGAATGAGATCAACAGCCTATAAATAAACAAGCATTTTTTACGTCACAACTTCAGTAAAAGAGGATTCTCATTACCTATAAATACGGTAGTAAATAAGTAGTTTATCTGGACAAAAAAGAAAGATCCAGCTACACTTCCATACAAACGCCAAATCTTTCGAATGCAGTATGTGAAGGACGCAAAATAATATTTTACGCATTATTGAATTGGGGAACCAAGTGCAACATTGATACATAAGAAATATGAAAAGACCATAGGAATTGATAAAGACAAGAAAGTCTGTGCAAACACATCAATGGTCGGGAGTTAAATATGGAGCAACAAACAAGATTCAACACTATCACCTCTGCCACGTTATAGCAGCATATAAGAAAAAGTTTCAATAAGTATTCTAGGCACAGGGTTGGAGCTTGTTATTTATTTTTCTTGCCAATCAGAAAATAGCGGCTTGTATGCAATAATTTCATGACAACCAATCTACTGACATTTACTTCCAGCATTATGTCTCAATAAAATCCCAGAGGATTAGTCCAAGAATTATCTTCGATCAACTAGGATGATGTATGACAAAAGGTTAATGTAATTGAAGTTACTTCTCCCCAATCTCAAAGGATAAACCTTACTGTTGATAATGTTTTTTTTCCCAGTTATCTTTCTTCCACTCTTCCTAGTGCAGTTCAGTTCCTGAGCATTTTGGATGATAAACTAGGACTTGAAGCAAATAAGGCTCAATAAGGCAAAGGGAGACCATTCTCGAAAAACCATTATTTTGTACAAAAATATATGGTGAATTTAGATGTCTAATCAGTAGATATCTATATGCAGTTCTTTCAACCTAAGTTGCAGAGACACAGATAAGTGACATGGACACGACACGACACCACAACACAACACGTGATTTCTAAAGAGCAAGATATGGACACGTTGATTTACAATTTCAAGTTATATTACTTTATTTTTATACTTCTAATATAGGTCACGACACATGCCATGTCGAACACCGAATGTCCCTAAAGTGTCCCTCTAGCATTAGAAATTTAAAATATATATAATATAAGACAACATATAGCTTGTCAGACCCATGTCATGGAGTGTCTCAGGAGCGTCAGTGTCCAACTCAGACACGCTACCCTAATAGGAGTGTTCGTGCATCATAGCTTTTAACGATGCCATGATATAGGAAGTTATGGTATCATATATCCTACCCATATCCCTTCCGTTGTGGGTGTTCAGGATCACAGCAAATAAAGTTAGATAAAAATCTTCCCTTTTTTGAAAAGAGTAACAAAATAACTTTTTATACACGCATGACCAAGGTCCAAGGAGACGCCATCTAGTCATGAAGAAATTTTTACCTGTCACTAGAACTACAATATTCAAGGCTGGACGTCACAAAGGAGCACATCAACTTGCAATTAGAACTTCGTGAAATAAGCATAAAAAAACAAACCTCGAGAGCTTTGCACACAATTTCAAGCTCGGGAAGATATTTGATCTTTTGCTTTGTCAAGACAAATTCGATAACGCCCAAGCAATTGCGACTACCTTGTTCAAGAACAGGAACTGCAAGTGCTCCACGAACAACGTATCGTTGTGCACGACCAACTCTTGGGTACTCGTCTCTTGTGAAGAATTGAACATCAGGAGTCCATTCAGGAACCTCACACCGAAAGACCCGACCAGGCAATCCACGACTTCTTTAGAATCTTCCTCAGCAGGAAACTGATAATCCACTAAAATCTCTCTGTAATGGGCAAGCCTCGGGCAATTACGGTCGAGTGAGAAAGGTTGATCATTGGTCGTAAGCATATTCCTTCCGCCTCTGTTAACTGGTACCCATACTTGAATGAGTACATCATTATCTCTCGAGCAATCTTTTATTTAACCAAGTGCCCTAATTAATCGGTCCATTACTGATTGACCTTCTGGTAAGCTCAGAACCTCCAACCAAATAATTCTCAGATTGACCCAAAGAACCGATATTGTTATAAACGTTTCCAACCTGAGACTGGGATTTCATAGAATGTTCTGGTCCATGATGCTGATTAGTCAACAATTTATCGGGGGAAATTGATAGTTTCCTCTCTTCTGGTCCTAGAATCTCCTTTAATGGGTTCCCACTAGATTCACCATTTTTTGCTTCGACAGTAGGCAATAGAAACGAAGGGTCAAACAGAGGATTGGCAGTTGAAGCACTGTAATTTAGGAATTCGGATTCACCAGATGTCTCCAAGCAACACCCTTCTAAGAATATCATCAATTATAATTGGCAATTTCTAAATTTGTAATTGACAATTTTTTAAATCAAATTCAAGTCCTAATTAAATTTTATGGAGTTGTAATCAAAGTCAAAATATGATTTATTGAATCCTAATTAAAGTCAAAAGAGTTGGGTTAGTAGAATAGTTCTCGAAGGAGTTCAAGAAGATCACATGTGATAATTGGAATACATAATGCTTCAAATTTTCAGTCACAACTTACTACGCATTTTTCACATAGAAATATATTAGAATTTGGATAAGGCTACTTTTAGAAGAATTGTAGCCATTTGAGTAAGCTTTTCAACGTATTTTGAATTACCTCAATCAGATATTAGGAGAGAAATACTAACGACTGCTCTAACGCCGCTTGTCGTTGGCTTGCGCTCGAGCGACGGGTCGACGTCCAGGATTTTGTCTTGCTTCAAACACTTGTTTTTTCGATCCCTTTCCATCTCAAATATTCTTCCCTTTATATATCATGCCCTATGAACATCCAAAAATGTGTTGAATCAAATTTATTTCATAGAGATCAATTCTTTGATGATTCAAAATATTTATTGATTTCAATATTCAATCACCATATATCACTTGATCCATAAATTCTTTCAAAACATATTTTGTTGATCAAGCTATATTGTTTCACATTAAATCACAAATCAAAACACACAAAATATTTTGATCAAACACTAAATCACCTAATTCGCTGGAGATAAATTGATACTAGGGATCGGGAGTTGTTGCAAAGCACAAATTCAAGATGACGAAGGCGAGATACCAGGAGTCGGGATCTGCCGTCAGGATCACGCAGTCCATGAGGGAAAATGTATAAATCGGGAGTCAAGATTTTATTTTGAAGGAGTGCACCTCTAGTAGGATCAAGGGAGACTATAGGAATTGAGATCAAAAGTTCTACGGGATAGACGGTCTGGACTGTATTGTACGTTTGCTTCGATTTATAATGAATTGCTGCTATGCAAAGTGCCTGGAGTTTTAATTTAGTTGGGGTTTCTCCATAATCATTTTTGGTGTTCTTCACTGCTTTAATTATTGATTGTGGTATTCAAATTTAGAATTAATTGACTTGTTTAATCTAATCATACAAAAATAATTAAAAAGTGATTTGTTACATTTAATTGTGTAATTCCGTATGTTGAATCTAAATAAATCGACTAATTTAGAATGATAACTCTCCCCCTTTCTCAGTCTCGATATCTCACACAGTATATATTAATATACAATTTAGCAAAACTTGTTATAATTGATTACCAACAAATCCTATTGAGCTCACTATTAAGTGTCCTCCCTCTCGTAGGTNCCTATTGAGCTCACTATTAAGTGTCCTCCCTCTCGTAGGTTGGGTTTCTCTCTCTGGGTTTTCAGGAATCCTAGTTTCAACCTCTCGGCCCTTGGTCTGTAGAGGTGGTGAGTTTGGGCCCCAGGTGGGGCGGTGGCTGCGTCGCAGCCGGGTTGTTTGTGCTGAGGGTTTTGCTTTTTTCGTTGTTGGTTTGGAAGCTCTCCGTCCGTTTGGGGTCAGTTGGCGGGTGAAAGGTTGGGGCTGTTCTTGGCGGTTCGTGGGTTGGTGGGTGCTTTTCTTTGTCTGTCCTGCTGTTGTGGTGGTGTTATTGGTTTGCGGTGGTGTGTGTGGTGGTGTATATTTGGGGACGTGGGTTGATGTGGCGATTTCTTGTGGTTGATCGCCGGATTGCGCTCCTTTCCGGTGTTTCCAGTACTGGGCAGCCACCTTCCGTGGAGGGGGCGTGCGTTCTTGAGTATTGTATTCCCAGCCAGACACCATTTTGGTCTGCTTGTCATTGCGAGCAGGAGCTTGGTTTTGGTGTTTCTTTGTGTTGTGTTTGGTGGTTTTTTGGTCTGTTTGTGTGTTTGGCGATGTATACTTGGAGGNAAAAAAAAAAAAAAAAAAGACAAATCCTATTGAGCTGTGTTGATATGAAGAGCATATTCTTGTTTACCATGCTTAGGCCACACCATAACCTTCGTGTGATTCCTTGCCATGTCAACTGTAAACTGTGAATTCAAGAAAGCCAACACTGCATAAACCCGAAACTGATATGCAGATTAATTAACTGGGTTTTTAAAAAGAAACAAGAATTCTTAAAAAAAAAAAAAGGCGAGTGCAGGTTCAAGATATTGAGGCAAGTGGGTAAAACTCAAGTTTGTCAGAATGTGTCTGGGAGAGAGGGAGACCTTGAACGCTTGCTACTTCACTATAATTAGATGCTTTGGTACATTAATCATGCTACAAGTACATTAACTTTGACATCAAGTTTGACATTGTACCACGTGTCGATATCACATTGGGCAGTTTTTAAAAACAACACATTTTCCCGCCAAACACAATTTGAATTTCCACATGGTGTCAAACTTGATGTCAAGAAAACAATGTAGAAGAGGTTTTAGTCTTGGTACATTCCTCAATGACAGCAACTTGCAAATTTAGCATTATTATAGTAATTAGATGCTTTTGGTACATTTCTCAATGACATCAACTTATTTATCCGTATGTTTAGTAGTAAAAATTGAATTCCATTTATCTTTTACAATTTAAACTAGTTCAATATGATATTACAGCTACTTGTTTGATTGAAATTATCTATCCGTATGTTTTGTAGCTAGTAAAAACTAAATAGTAGTAGACGACATTAAAAAACTAAAATAAAGATAAACCTATTCATTTACCAATTTTGTCTAATATTATGTAAAAACACGTACTTAAAGGTGTTCATGGAAAAACGAGTATCAATCATTAACGACATCACTATTTTACCAAGTTAGTTTTTACTTCTAATTGTTTGATTTCCCGCAAGTGAATGATATCAAGAACAAGTAATAAAATAATGAGTAAAGTATCGTTCCTACAATAAGTATGTGCTTAAATTTAGGATCAATTAGTGTTAACCTTAATTGAATAGCAAATTTTGATTTATGATTTTATGCTAATTGACTAATTTAACTAACTAATCTATTAAGCAAGTTTATGAAAGTTTTAATAAAATTAAGTAAGATGATTACTAAAATTTCAAACCCCCCTATGAATCCAATGTAAATCAATATCATGACAATATATGCACATTCTTGTTGATTAATATTCTTAAGTTAATTAAAAGCATCTCTCGATATTAATTAAATCTATCCTTTTATGTGACCTTATATCTGTATGAAAGATGCGAACATAAAAGCATGCATTAGAAACGTTAGAACATCTACATAAATCATACAACGTATATCGCTATATCTCTATCCCCGAACGAGGAAAGTTGTCTTCGAACGCATTTTTTTGTCTCTAGACAGTTGTCAATATATTCATCATAACTTTCTCTCTCGATATTCGATTGAAGCGATTTAAAATATGTTGAAAAGATAACTCAAATGGCTACAATTATTATTGAAATAAAATCTTCCAATTCTAATATTTACTATACCAAAAATGGGTCTCAATTTTCATTTAAAAATCTGGAATATAAATTGAGCGATTGGAAATTGATTTGTGAAAATATTTTGATTGTATTTCATTTCTTTTGATATCTAATTATATTCAAGTTACTCCTAGAAATCTTCAATTATCGTTTTATGGTCCCAGTCAACTATTAGAATGTTTCAATTGGGTCCTCAAAGTTTGGATTTCATCATTTTCACCATTTTCTCTTCTTTATTTCAATTCCGTTTATAATAATTGAGTTTTACCTAATAAACGAAATATAAAATAAGTTCAAAAGAACTATTAAATGTCTATATTTTTAAGTCCAAATAAGTGTAAAAAACATAGTTATCAAATACTTCCAAATTTAAACATTTGTTTTTCCTCAAACAAAAGGATAACATAACTTAACAAACGCACAAACATGCAAAAGGCGTTGGTTAGATAATTGACATTTTGTATAAGGATTGGAATCGTTGTATTAAATTTATAACAGTTTCAAGGTTATATTATCAAAATCAATATCTACTTTTTCAATGAAAACTGATGTATGTATGTGTGTAAAGAATTAAGTAAAACACTATAAATTCGCATGTTGTTTCAATTCCATACTCTTGATCATAAGATTTACACACCCTTAAACGTGTTATTTCCCAGTGTATGATATACATCAAAATCTTTATACTAACTCCACATCCTCTCTAGTTTAGATGGATCTCACTAGCTAATTGCAAGTCAATACTTCAACAAATATGTATTCTCCAAATTTTGATTTCTTCAACCTCCAAACTCAAATAGGCTAATAATCCCGTATCAAAGATCTAATTTTCTCAAATAAGTGTTTGGGGTTTAACCAAGGCATATAGCGTGTCTTCTCTTTCATGCACATTTTTTAGCTTTTTTTCTTTTTTTTTCTTTCGTTTTTTTACTTATCTTAGTGCGGACTTCTCTTCATTAAATTTTCTAAATGACCATTTGTAACGAGCTTTCGGTTGATAACTCTTAAGTCAGATGACCATAGGGTAACATGTTTTAAATATCCTTGTAAACTTAATCACTCCAGTCATTTAAACTACGAAGAGACATTTTACAATGAGATGGCTCTTTCCTTTTTCTTTTTCCCCTTTTTATGCAATGATTAGTGTAATGCCTCCTATTAAACACTCATTCTCAAAAATGACCCCTAATTCAAGATTTTCACATAATATTTATCTTGTAAGTTTTAGATAATCCACACAAGAATTCACACATATGGAATCCCCATTCATATCAATATCTTCCTACAACGGTTTAATCACTCTCCAAACTATGCTAAATTTGGTCTAGGGATCGTATAATGTAGTTTTTTTTTTTGGTTTACCATCTAAATTCAAATATTTCAATCTATCAAACATATGAATCAACTCATTACTTTATAATGCTAAACTTAATTCATGTGCGCAAATAGTATCAAATTTTACATGAATATGAATCAATTAATCCAAGCATGTAATATATCCACAGTTCATAAATTAACACATAATTTTAAATATATTCATCATTGCCAACAATGCTACCTAA